TTTTTTTTTTTTTTTTTTTTTTTTTTTTTTTTTTAATTTGTTTTTTCAATTGCAAGGTACTTACTTACAATACTTGCTTACAAACAATGTATGATACTTACGCTACTAACAGAACTATACTCTACTTACAAAAAAAAACTTATTTACAATGTGAGATACTTACGCTACTAACAATACTATACTCTCCTTACAATACAAAACTGGCAATACTTACTTACAATGAGATGCTTCTAAGAGATGTACAACTACTAGAGAATATGCTAATTGAGGATATCAAACTGTAGGGCGTTGAAGAGTCACGACAACCTGGGAACACACATCTCCAATAACACACTTTTTATTGACCCTGCACTTGTTAAATGTCACTTTTTTCTCTTTCATTCCGAGAAAATCTTGGAGATCGACTATGTCGTCAAGACTCGATAATGGGCCCCAGGCGTTATTTAGAGCACTAGTATTAACAGACCTTCTTCTGGTCCTCTTCTTCGGAAGAAAAGATGGGTTTTGAAAAGGCACCATTGTCAAGAATCGAGTTTCTTATATTTCAACTAAAAGACGCGTCGAAAGCCTTTATGAAAGCACTGATAGCATTTACCATTTCTGCTAAATTGGCCACATTACGTCTTTCAAATTTCATCAGCAATTAAATTCCCAGGCTCCGTAATATCTAAATATGTCGTGAAAACAAAACGTTATTACAAAACTCCAAATGGTGGTTCGTATCACTATAAGACACTGTAATACTGGCAACAAAAACTTGTTTTGTTGCATTGCTGCAAAACGAGTTAGTGAATAGGGATGTTGCGCGTCTTACCACGCACGATTCAAATCTTGCAAGAAATCAGCAGGTTGTTGCAAGTTGCGAATAGTTGTTGCAGAAATAAGTTCTTCTTTTTGCAACAAAATCTGTACATGCATGTTTACGTTCATTGCGCATTTTACCGGCCCAATGTAAACTTGTTTTGCAGCAACTGACATAAATCCCCTGTATGGCGTGACTCACACGTAGTTTTATCAAATTGGAAGTCATTATTCAAGCAACTTATCTTTTTAAATATGCATTTAATTTTAAGTGTTTTTTCTTGTTTGTTACTGTCGCCTATCTTTAGCCGGACTGCATGTTGTTCAATTTAGGGGTGGACCGAGGGGGGCCGCAGCAACCCCTTTTTCTTTGAAGGTTTTCTATTATTTTTGTAGAAGTTCCAAGAAAAATAAAAAGTATCTATATAACTGGCAAGTGGGCAAGTGGTTCAGCCATTCCTTTCTGAATTTTCTGGATCCGCACCTGTTTTTTGCCATCATTATAAGCTTCCACCATTATTTCGTTCCCGTTACAAGCTGATTGTTTATTGTTATTACTGTTTTTTTATCTTCTGAAGACTTCTTTGCGTTCTTTTCGCGCAGTGACCGCACAACGCGCCCACTAACTCCATACCGCTCGGCAAGCACATTGTTCATTGAGCAAAATATGCTCGATACGAAAGCGAAACGCACAAACGCCAGAAGTACAAGTGAGTAATCAGTATTGTACTTAAACTGCGGCAAGCTATCACCGAAACCAATTGTACTCAAAGTCGTGAAAGTAAATTGAAAACACTTGATATATGACCATTCCTTGTGTCTCACGTGAACCAAGAGAGCCATTAATGGTGGTAGACAAAGCACAGTTACCAAAATCGTTGTCAACGCAACTTTTAGCTCTAAGTTAATTTTGAGTATGTGGTCTTTTCAAAACTTGTTTCTCCAAGTCTGAAGTAGACCTTATCATGGTTTTGGAAGCCATCTTGACGAGTAAGCAACCGTGTGACTTTTACAGTGTTTGTATGAGAATCTAATTTCCGTAAAACGGCTGTTCTGCAAAAAAAAAAATAAATAAATTGCAAACTAAAGCTTCAGTCGTAACGATTGTACTGAAAACATTTGAGGGCGTTACATGCAGTTACATCCGTTAGAAGCACTTTAAAAATGTTCTGTACAATTGTCTGTAAAAAATTTCTTTTCCTGTCGGCTAAAATTTCCCTGGAAAATTGCAGACAAATATATGGAAAATCTAAACCAAGCGTCAGGAGAAATTTAAGAACTTGACAGTAACGGCCTCCAAAATTTGTTAGTTAATTTCCTTTGCTGTGTAGCTTTAGTTTACAATTCATATTTTTTTGAGAATAGCCCTTTACGGAAATTATTCGACATTAGATTCTCATACAAACAATGTAATTTCTCATAAGGTTTCCTACTCGTCAAAATGGCTAACAAAACCGTGATAAGGCCTATTAATTTTGCGAATAGTTCCGTTATTTAATCTCCGACGACTTTAAGAGTCAAGCATGTCCCGCGGATTCCGATAAGTACGTATAGCACGCAAAACAGACGTCCTTGAACTGTTTTTGGTACAATGTTACCATAGCCTGCAGAAACAAATAATTCGTTTTTTCTGTAAATCACAATTAAAGTAGCCTGCGAAGCGCAGACGTATTTCCGGTCGTCGNCGTTAGAAGCACTTTAAAAATGTTCTGTACAATTGTCTGTAAAAAATTTCTTTTCCTGTCGGCTAAAATTTCCCTGGAAAATTGCAGACAAATATATGGAAAATCTAAACCAAGCGTCAGGAGAAATTTAAGAACTTGACAGTAACGGCCTCCAAAATTTGTTAGTTAATTTCCTTTGCTGTGTAGCTTTAGTTTACAATTCATATTTTTTTGAGAATAGCCCTTTACGGAAATTATTCGACATTAGATTCTCATACAAACAATGTAATTTCTCATAAGGTTTCCTACTCGTCAAAATGGCTAACAAAACCGTGATAAGGCCTATTAATTTTGCGAATAGTTCCGTTATTTAATCTCCGACGACTTTAAGAGTCAAGCATGTCCCGCGGATTCCGATAAGTACGTATAGCACGCAAAACAGACGTCCTTGAACTGTTTTTGGTACAATGTTACCATAGCCTGCAGAAACAAATAATTCGTTTTTTCT